CATTTTCACTCTCAAATTATAGGGTATTTCTTCTCCTGTTCTCTTCCTCAGAATTCACTGGATGCCTAAATCTCATATCCTTTTGGATTGGTTTTACACTATAGATTACTAGAACTGAGAGAGTTACTACTGTGTCACTAGTACCACCTCCATTGGCTTACACCTTCTTAGTGCTTCTGTGCACTAGCACTGCTTTGTATTTATCTCCATTTTACAGACGAGGAAGCTAAGGCATTGGAGATTTTTTAATTTGCCCAAGGTATTTTATGTATTACCTAGTCCAGTCCTCTTACATAAAAAGAGAGGAAACCAAGACCCAGAAATATTACCTACCTACCCAGTAACACCAAGTGCATTCAGTTTCTAGGGCTGCTGTAACAAAGTGCTACAAACTGGTGGCTTACAACAGTTCTGGAGGCTAGAAGACTGAAGCCAAAATGTTGGCAGCATCATGGTCCCTCTGAAACCCGTAATGAAGAGTCCTTCCTTGCTAGTTCCTAGCTTCTGGTGTTTGCCAGCAGTTTTTGGCATCTTTTGACTTGCAGTTTCATAACCCCTCTCTCTGTCTTCATCAGCACATGTTGGTTTCCCTGTATTTCTCTGAATCTTCACCTGGCTGTCTTCTCAAGGACACCACTAGTCTTGGACTAGGGGCCCACGTTCTCCAATATAATCTCATGTTAACTAATTACATCTGCAATGACCCTGTTTCCAAATAAGGTCACATCTTAGGTCCTGGAGTTAGGGCTCCAATGTACCTTTTCTTGGGGGACACGGTTCAAGCCATGTCACCAAGTACTTAGTGTCAGAGGTGGTACAAGAATCCGGGTAGACTCATGCGTAGGATCACTTTACTTGGTGCTCTATATGAGTCCATATTCTCGCTTTTTATTTTTTATTGCAATAAAGTTGATATACAATATTATGTATGATATACAACATTATGTACAACATAGTGACTTGATAATTTATACATTACTGGATGCCTGCCATAATAGGTGTAGTTACCCGTTATCATGAGCCCATATTCTTGTAATTCATTTATCCCACATGCATTGGATATAATAAATTTTGGTGGAATCTCTTCCCCTACAGGTAGAGTACAGTTTTGAGATTTATATCTAATTGTCTTGCTCATGGTTGATCCTTACCAGTTCTATTTTTTTAAACAGCATTTTTTGAGGCATAATTGATACACAGTAACCTGCACATAGTTAAAGTATATGGTTTAATAGATTTTGATGTAAGTATAAGCCCTTGAAACCAGTACCAAAGTAAAGATAGTAAACATAGCCATTTCTCTGAAAACTTTACTTTTGTCCCTGTGTAGCTTCTCCCCTGAATTCCATCTACCCCATCCCCGAGCAACCACTCATTTGCTTTCTGTCACTCTAAATAAGTTTGCATTTTCTAGAGTTTTATGTAAGTGGAATTATACAGTATGTTCTCTTCTTTTTGGTCTGGCTTCTTTCATTCAGCATAATTATTTTGATTTTCAATTATATGATTGTGTGGCCTTTTATTTATTTTATAGTATCCACTTATATGGATATATCACAACTTGTTTATTCATTTATATATTGACACATATTTGGCTCAGTTCCAGACTTTGGCTATTACAAACAAGGCTTTTAGGAACACTAGTGTTTGTACATGTGTTTGTATGGGTTTACACATTTCCTTTATTCTTGGTAGACACATAGGAGTGGAATGGCTGGATTAACCTGAAAAGTTATTTCCCAAAATGGTTTTACCATTTTATATTCTTAGAAGCAGTGTATGAGAATTCATTCCTTTGCATCCTTGTCAGTACTTGGTATGGTCAGTCTTTTTAATTTTATCCATTTGAATCAGTATGAAGTGTACCTTATTGTGGTTTCAATTAGCTTTACCTAATGATAAGCTTTTGGTCAGAGGCTTAGTAGCTGTCCAGTATCTTCTTCGGTGGAGTGGCTGTTCCAAGTGCCCCTACTTTTGGCTGTAGTTGTCCGAGAGGGGTCTGTAACCCTGGTCCAGACTTTTCTTTCCCTTCCCTTGAGCTATGAGGTCCATATTACTCAAATAAGGATTTCTGAAAATTCAAACAATAAAACCAATCTCCTTTTTCTAGAGAAAAGGAAGCTTATCGGTTTTGAATAAAATGAGACTGTACAATATCAAAGCATTTGTTGTGTGTGGCATGAGTTTTCCTATCCAGAGAAAAACTTTCCTGACTCAAGTGTGTTGGTGGCCATTCTCTACACTGGGGTGTCTTCTACTGTGGGGTAAATGATTGCTTGACCTTCTTTCTAGTGCAGTTCCCCTCTGCTTGATCCTTTGGTGTAGCAAGAAAAAAAATAGGAAGATCATATTTTAAGGACAGGTGTTTTGTTTGATTCAGTGGCTGTGTGGCAAACTAATTCAAAGTCCAGTTTATATTTAGCTTTTGGGATGATTGAAAGAGTCTACTATTACCTATTCTGCTTCTTTCAGTTTAAAAATTTTTTTATCTCTTAAATAAGCAGAAAAGTTCACACCTGTTTAAATCATAGATGTGTGTCTGTTATTTGCTCTTCTAATAACACAGAGAGCTCTGAGATGAATAAAAGGTAACAAAAGCAGCCATATGGATAGACAGTTGATTCAGCGCCATTTATTGAAAATTCCTCCTTTCTCCACGGCAGTACAGTGCTACCTCTGTCCTATCAGCTGATCACTTTTGTGAGCGTCACCATTCTGTTCCACTATTTGCCTATCTTCTTACAAATACTGCACTATCTTAATTACTGTAGCTTTGTAATAGGTCTTGATATCGCGTAGTGTGAGTCTTCTGGTTTGGCTTTCTTTACATCACCTCAGCTATTTCTTAGTGGACTTTTATAGGATTAAAAAGAATAATGTTGCATTTTCAAGGCGAATAAAAATGTCCCACATCCAAAGCTCGGTCAAGAGAAGTGCCCCAAAGAAAAAAATTAACTTTTGTTCCGTAAATGCAGAGCCTGTGTTTACAAAAAAATATGTATGCACTCTCATCATTGGTTTTATGTAGAGAGGAAAGGCACTGCATTCGATTTTGATTAAGGGCCCATTTATATCAGTTACTGGTTGGATCATTCTGGGTGGAGACTCTAGGTTCCCTTCCTGGGTTTGCAGTATAACAAATGGCAGGGTCCCTATCTAAATCCCTTTTCTGGGCAACTAACCACAAATTAAGGGCTCAGTAAAAACATTTTAACTAAACGTAATGCAAATCCATGAAGGGAGGTACAGAATCCATGTCCTCACATAAAAGTCTTGCTAGTAATTTAAGTCAGAGTAGGTGTGTGGTGGAGAGTGAAGGAGATGGCTCTGAGACATTATGTGGGTGGGGAAGGGTAGTGGTCAGACTTTTTGTTGTGTCATAAACCACCCAAAATTCAGTGACTTATGGAACATTTATTTTTCTTGCTCTTGGAATGGAGTGGGGAGGGGACTCTATTTTAGAAGCCAGGATTTGGGCTGAAATCAAGTCTGTTCCACATGTTTTATCCTGGGGCCCAGGTGGTAGTAGGGGGACAGTGGACACCTGGGGCGTGCTTTCTTCTGGCAATCACAGGAGCACAGGAGGCCAAACAGAACCACACAAGTACATTCTTAGTTTTTGCTTGTGTTGCATCTGCTAACATTGCATTGGCAAAGCAAGTCACATGACCAAGCTCAACATCTGCGTGATGGAGGAATATACTCTGTCCATTGCAGTGCTCTGGATGATCACGTGACGGTGGGTGAGTGGCGGGTGAGGAATTGGGAATCATTATTCACCTACCACAGGAAGGGACAGTGTTCTTGAGCTGAGAGAACCTACCCTGCTGCCTCTGGGAATGTGGACTGGCAGAAGACGTCTTCCAGAAAAATTGGGGGAAAATTAGTCCTGATAAGGAGCTGTATAGTACTGGTGCCAGAGTACAGGCTGGCCTCTATTTTCTCTTTACTTTACCCTTGTTTACAATAGTATTGTAACAGGACATCGGTTGCCTAGCTAAGGACTATATTTCCCAGGCTGCCTTGCAGCTAAGGATGGCATGTGGTTAAATTACATCTTTGGAGTATAAATGGAAGTGATGGTATCTCTTTCAGGCCTGCACCTTTAAACATTTTATGTGTGTTTCTCCAAATTTATTCCCCTTCCTAAAAATTGGAGTATGGAGTGCCTTCAGGCCAGCTCTGTCCATGTAGTTGAGGACAACACCCTGTGGCAGTGCTTCTCAAATTTCTCTGTGCATAAGGATCACCTGGAGAGTGATCCTTATTAAAAGATTAGGTTAAAACAGATTAAAACGAGGATTCAGTGGGTCTGCAAGAAATTCAAGAATTTGCATTTCTAACAAGTTCCCCGGTGAGGCTGATGCTGCTGGTCTGTGGACCACACTTCCAGTAGCAGTGCTGTAGAGGATGATGGAGATGTAGGATGGAAAGAATCTGAGTTTCTGAATGTCTGTGGGGGACAAGGGAGCCTGTCTATGAACCTTGGATTGCTTTGTGAAAGCACCATATTTTTGAGACTTTGTTACAGGGCTTAGTCATTTATCCTAGCCAACATGATCATCCTAACATTCTGCCAATCTTTCCCTCTGTCTAAACCAAATCTCTCCCACAATTTTCTTCTGTTTCATTTTGAACTCTTCTTCCTGATAGTGAATAATATTATCCACCTCTACTAAATGAAAGTCTTAAGAGCTGGCCTCTGGAATGCCATATTCAAGTGTCGATTTTAGCCTCAAGCTGTTCTCAAGCAAGGATTTTCCTTCACTATCTTTCCCATGGAGATATGGGAAACTTAAGTGATGGGCTTTCTCCTTTCTATATCATGTAGCAAGTCTCGCTCAAAACCCAGCCCTTAAACATGTGACTTGAGACAGTTTAACTTGAGTAACATTTATTTTGGAGGCAGAGATGGGGGAGGATTCAGAGCTTCCAATAATCTTGAGGAATTACTCTGCCTTCTGGGCCATCTTTTCTAGGAGCCATATTCAAGGATAGTCTCACAGCTTACAGCTGGCCAGGTATGTGGACAAATCCTTGCCTTTGCAGTGTTTTACCCAGGCCACCCTAAGGATAGAGAAATAAAGTATAGATCAGATGCAGGGGCAGGAGTTTGTAAGGGACTCACTCAGCTGAGAGGGAATGTAGGATCTGCAAGCTGGAGTCAGTGTATGCTGTAGGAGAGTCCCAGACAGGAAGGGCTTGCCCATCTAAAACACATCTGGATGGGGGCTGCAGTGATGTCTGGGGTGAAGGTGTCACAATATTATTCTGCCTCACTTCACATCAGGAGGACAGTCTCCACTCCTTACAAAACTCAGGGAAAATCCTACAGCATAGATGCTACTTATATTAGCATCCCAGATACTGCCTGGGCCTATCCCTGCCAGAGTGGCTGGTCTCTGCCCTTCATGTTCTCCTTACCAGGCAGACATCCCATTAGGATCTTTCACAACCCTCTTGGCACAGGAGATGTCATCACTGATGTTATCATCCATAAATTCTGAAAGGAAAAGCAAATGAG